TGTCTTTTCTTTAATTTTTTTTTTTTAAATTGTATTTTATTTTTATTTTTCTATATAGAAATAAATAATATCGATAAATAAATTTTCTTGGGTGAATTTCTGAGCTAATGAAAATAAAAACACGAAGAATTTTTCTTTTGAGGAACAATAAAATATATATCTATAAGAGTAGAAGGATTGATAATTATATAGTGGAACGCATGATTATGTTCTAAAAATCATTATAGTTAAAATTTCATTTAGAATTTTATTTGTCATAATTATTTTTTGAGTCGAATTTTTATTTATTCGAATCATATATAGTATTTTGCAGAATTTTCATCAAAAAAAAAACTATTTTCTATATTATAGAATTTTTATACATATAACCGAAAATTCACTTCATAGAATTTTTATTTTTTTTTTTTTCGAATTTTTATTTGTCAAAATTTTTATTTACACGAATTTTCATTTAACATAATAGGACATTTTAAAGAATTTTGAATTGAATTCGAATTATTATTTAATTGAATTTCCATATACCTATAATCGATTTTTCTGAAGAATTTTTTACTTAACCAAAAAATCATTTAACAGAATTTCTGATAGAATTTTCATTTTGTCCGAAATTCCATAAATGATCGAACAAACAAACGATTTTATGGCGCGATTTTTAAAATCAACCAATAACAATATTTTATGGATTATTCGCAGTCATTTGCAATTTTGGACAAATGAAAATTATATCAATAATATAGAAATTATGTTAAATGATTTTTCGGTTAAGTAAAAATTCTACAGAAAAATCGGTTTTATGGAAATTCAATCAAATAATAATAATAATTCGAACAAATGGAAAAATTCATTTGAAAGAATAAAATGAAAATTTCATGCAATGAAATTCTATTCAATAAAAATTCTTTAAAATGTCCTATATTATATATGTTAAATGAAAATTCGAGCAAATAAAAATTCGAATAAGTTAAAAATTCTGTGAAGTGAATTTTCGGTTATTAAAAAATTTGTGTAATATAGAAAATCGTTTTAATGAAAATTCTGCAAAATATTAATTCGAACAAATAAAAATTCAGCTCAAAAATAATTATGACAAATGAAATTCTAAATGAAATTTTAACTAATGATTTTTAGAACATAATCATATGCGTCCCTATATTTATAGGGACGCATATTAGGGTACCTATATTATTATTATTATTATTTTTATTATTATTATTATTATTAATATTACTATTATTATTATTATTATTATTATTATTATTATTATTATTATTATTATTATTATTATTATTACTATTGTTGTTCTTGTTGTTTATTTTTCATGTTAACTTCGCGTATTGAGTTATATATATATATATATATATATGGAAATCACTCCCGAAATAAAAAAAAAATATATATCAAACCAAGGGGTGAAAGTGAATGGAAAAAAAAATCTGTTAGAATAATGAATGAATAATAATAATAATAATAAAAAAAAAAATGATGCGTAAGGGAAAGTGTTTTTCATTATTGTATTTGACGTCAAAAACACATATATATATATATATATATTCCTCATATTTCAATCGTTACTGTGACAGCGACTAGACTGGACTCCATATTCTGCGGGTTGGTATAAAATCGGGAGTTTAAATTAGTAAGTCTAGACACTTCGGAAATACCACGTGGGAAACGTCATCTCTCTTAAACACCGTTTTGAAATTTCGCGCGGAATTAAAGCTGTCAAAACAGGAACAACATGATGAATTGGAAGTCATTTAAACAAAAAGCGGAATTTCGGCAAAAAACTTCTTTTTTTTCTTTTAAATAATAGTAATAACAAAAAAATAATAATAATACCTAATAATAATAATAATAATAATAATAATAATAATAATAATAATAATAATACCTAATAATAGTAATAATAATAATAATAATAATACCTAATAACAGTAATAATAATAATAATAATAATAATGTGAGATTTACTACTTTATTTTTTTACTATTTTTTATATTTTAATAAAGGTACTTTTTATTTTAATAAAAAAAAATTGTGTAAATAAATAAAAATTTATTATTAGTATTATAATAATAATAATAATAATAATAATAATAATAAATTTTTATTTAATTTTAAATAATTAACAAATTAAACTATTTTTTAATATTTATTATTATTATTAATAATTTAACAAATATTTGTATTTTTTTTTTTGTTACAGGTGAGTTTCTATTTAGTCTACATCTTCATTAAGTACCTAGTAATGGATTAAAAAAAGAAAAAAAAAATATTAATAAATATACATATATATTTGTGTTTTTAAATGAGAGAATTTAATATTTATTGGACACGCATCTTTGGATAGAATTTGAAAATAACGTAAGTAACGCCACTCATTTGTTTCCTTAGGAATTTGCTGACAAAGACAATTTTTCAATAGTGTATATATATATATATATATATGTGCGTGCGTGTGTGTGTGTGTATAATATATGTATGTATATAAAAAATATCACAATTAAGCATATTTTAAAAGCATCTTTAATAGCTATTTAATTCACGTTCGTTTTTGTATTTTTATATTTTATTTATTTTTCAAATATGACGAATTTAAATTTAAACCATTAACGCCTGATTTTTTTTTTATGTATAATATGAAAATTTTGCTATATTTTGAAATTTAGTAGTTTTCAGTGTCGTTAATTACAAAACTGCTATAAAATTTTGTCATTAAGGGACCTCGAAAATCCTCGTGTAACTAGTTTCAAGCAAAATGGATTAATTAAAAAAAAAAATTTTTTTTTTAGCTATATTTAATACGACATTTTGAATTTTCGAAAACTAACATCGAATTCGTCACCAGCGACCTCAAAAACCCCCGAGTAACGAATTTCAATCGAATTCGATAAATTTTAAAAAAATCCGTCCGCCATATTGGATCCGCCATTTTGAATTTTGAAAAACTGACAACGGATTCATAATAATCAGCGACCCCGAAAACCTCCCGAGTAATGATTTATAACCAAATTTGAGAAAATTTTTAAATGTTTGATCGACATTATGGATCCGCCATTTTGAATTTTGTAAAACTAACCTCAAATTCGTAATCAGCGACCACAAAAACCCCCGAGTAATAAATTTCAATCGAATTCGATAAATTTTAAAAAAATTCGTCCGCCATATTGGATCTGAAATTTTGAATATTGAAAAACTAACATCGGATTCGTTACCAGCGACCACAAAAACCCCCAAGTAACGAATTTCAATCGAATTCGATAAATTTTAAAAAATTTGTCCGCCATATTGGATCCGCCATTTTGAATTTTGAAAAACTAACACCGGATTCGTTACCAGCGACCACAAAAACCCCCCGAGTAACAAATTTCAATTGAATTCGATAAATTTAAAAAAAATTCGTCCGCCATATTGAATCCGCCATTTTTAATTTTGAAAAACTGACAACGGATTCGTTACCAGCGACCACAAAAACCCCCCGAGTAACAAATTTCAATTGAATTCGATAAATTTAAAAAAATTCGTCCACCATATTGGATCCGCCATTTTGTATTTTGAAAAACTAACAACGGATTCGTAATTAGCGACCGCAAAAAATTTCCCGAGTTGTCATTTTTACGTAGTACAACTTTTAAAAATTTTTTACTACATCAAAAATTGCTTCCGCCATTTTGAATTTTTAAAAAACTGACATCAAATTCGTAATCGCCTACCCCAAAAATCCCGGGAGTATAATCATTTTTCTTTTGCTTAAATTTTGAAAGTTTCTTTTTTTAATTCGATATTTTGGTTCCGCCATTTTGAATTTTGAAAAATAAAATTCTTAAGCTGAAGAACATTTTGCTAACTTCAAGCATGTGTTAGAAAAGGATATATATATATATATTTCTGTCCATTTCTATCTGATGCACTTTTTTTTGCGAACCAATAGAATATTTTAAATTTGACGTCATCATACCAGCAGATGGTAATTTTGTGCAGATATCTGTTTTACCGACAGCTACAAATACAAGTCGGTAAAATAAAAACATAAAATATAATATAATAAATATTTAAATAATAAAATAATTATTAATTAATATTTTTTTTAATTTTTAATTTACTACTACTAATAATAATAATAATAATAATAATAATAATATTTTTTATTTTAATTATAATAATTTGTAAATTATAAATTAATATATTATTATAATTATAATAATATTATAATAATATTTTTAATTTATTAATAAATTAAAAATATTAGGTATAATATTATTATTATTATTATTATTAGTAAATTAAAAATTAAAAAAAATATTATTAATGAATAATTATTTTATTAGTTTTTATTTAAATTTTTCTTAAATATTTTGTTTTTATTTTTTACCGACGTAGTATTTATATACATTGGTAATATAGATATCTGTTCAAAATTACCACCTGCCTGGTACAATGACGTCACATTAAAATACTCAATTGTGCATTGGCCCTTACATTTGTATAGTTAAAAATAAATTTTATTATTTACTTATCTGTAAATTTTACAAAAAAAAAATTTATTTTTTCTCATTTCTATAATTAAAAAATATTAATTTATTTGCACTTTAAATTGTTTTCCCTAAAAATATTTTGCTCACTTCTGTTTAGCCAAAAAAAAAAAAATGTAATTTTTCAGTTATAAAATTTTTAAATTTGACAAAATGTTTTTTTTTTTTTTTTTTTTTTTAATCGCAGATAGAATTTATTAATTAGCTTTTTCGTGACAAACAATAATTTATTTTGGAACACACCGGCATAAATACCTTGAACCTGTTTTATGGATATTATATATATATATATATATATATATATATATATATATATATATATATATATATATATATATATATATATATATAGTAAAAGGCCTAGTATTTCGTTTCCCTTCTTTTTTTTTTCTCCCCCTTTCTCTCTAGTCGGTTGGCAATCATGAGGAATCTCGTGGTGTTGTGTTTCCCGCGAGAATCGATGGCGTCGCTAGTGTTGCGATGGCTGCCGTCAGTGTTCTCGAGGACTCGCTCGGTGTTCTATTGTGGCGACGTTTGTTATTCGTCGTGTAACGCGGTTTTTTTTATTTTGTTTTCCACTCTCTTATAAATATATATTGTCCATATGAAAAATAATAATAATCCGTCTTTTCTCCGTCCTTATATATATCCATGGAATAAAATTCCAATGTAAATTATTTTCCGCCCAGTGTTGTGTTTTTTTTTTTTTTTTTGGTGAAGGAAAGAGAAAATCGCGTGTGTTGTATAGTATTTTCTCTGTCTCTCTAATACAGTGGCTGTGTATTCCGACTTTCCTCTCGCAGTGTTTGTGTGTGTGTGCGCGGTTATTTTTTTTTTTTTTCCTTCTCACTTCTTCTTATATCAACCATCTCTTTTCCTCTGTCTCGCCACTACAAGTGCAGTCTGTCCGAATTTTCTATATATTCGGAGCCCTCTTTACAATCAAGTGTACAAGTGAGTGTTTCTTTTTTTTTTTCTCGTCGTTTTGCGTCCATTGTGTTTTGTCGTGCCTCCAAAGTTGTGTCCACAGGTGTTTGCATAAGAAATTTTGGATTTTTTTTCTCGAATAAATAGTGGGTAAGTAGATTATTATTATTATTATTATTATTATTATTATTATTATTTTGTTTTTTTTAGTATTCAACCGAAACATTTTTACGTTGTTCTCTATTTATTACAAATTTGGTTTCTGCATCTTTCACAAGCTTTTAGGTTATGATCACGTTTTGACCTTCGAGGCGCGTCCGGTTTTGCTGTTTACTTTCCATCTAATGGAAAAAACAGTTTTTTTTTTTTTTTCATCGTTATGAAACAGTTCCATTAGAAATAATTGGGTTTTTGAAAAAAAAAGAGATTTTGAGAAGATTTCGGTTTGTTTGTTTGTTAAAATATTGTGATTTATTTTCTTATTACTATTATTGATTTTTTTTTTTTTTTAATGTTTTAAGATATGATTTTTCGAGTTGTTTTTTTTTTCTCAAACGGACATACACGTTTTTACTATGCGTCATTTTTCTTTTTTCATTTTTTTTTCATGTCAGGTACGTAACAAATGATTCATAAATGAGATGAGACACCTGTAAGTGTGACATTACCTTGACTTTAACATTCTTATGGAGTGTTATCAAATTATTATTATTATTTTTTTTTTTTTGTTTATGTTCTAGTGCATAATAATTTTTTAATATTTATTATTTCAATAAATTTTTTTCTTTTTTTGCGTGTCTGAAATGTTGAATTTTCAAATAAAGTAAATTATTTTTTTTGTATTTTTTTTTTAAATTATTATTTATTATAATTATATCGCGCGGGAAAATTTTTCAAATAAACAAATAAATAATTATAATCGTATATATTATAATAAATATAATTATTACAAATATAATAATAATAATAATAATAATATAATAAATATAATTATAACAATATAATAATAATAATAATATAATAAATATAATCATTATAATATAAAGATAATAATAATAATAGTAAATAATATTAAATTTATAATTTAATAAATGTTAAAAATTAAATAAAATTAAAAAAAAAGTTAAAATAAAATTAGTAATTTTTATTATTTTATTATATTTATTATTATTATTATTATTATTATTATTATTATTATTATTATTATTATTATTATATGTAGGTATATAATATAATAATTTTTTTTGAGAAAAAAAATTTTTTTAATTATAATAATGATAATAATAATAATAATAATAGAGAACAACGATTGCCAAAAATTGAAATGGTCAAAACTAGATAAAAAAAAATTCTATTATTACTAGAAAAAAAAAATATTCTATTATTATTTCCATACTTAAAAAGTGGGAAAATTTAAAGAGAAAGTTTCCAATTATTATTATCAATACGTTAGTCATTTTTCCAAAAAAAATTTAAAATGAAATTAATATTGACCTCCTTTTCTCTTTTATTTTTATTTTTTTATTTTTAATTCTTTTGATTATCGTTAATTAAGAAATAAAAATTAATTTTTTGATTTAAATCAAAGAATTTTTATTATTAAAACTTTAAAACAAAAAAAAATGTTTTAAAAATTTAAATATATATTTATAATTTATTTTTCACATTCAATATTTTTATTTTAAAAAATTAATTGAACGTGTTTTTAAAGGCAAATAAACTATAATAATATAATAATATTTAAAAAGTAATTATTTAATTTAATTTTTTAATAAATTAATTTAATACAATATAATTTTTAGAAATAATTAATTAATAATAATGATATTAATATTAATTAATTATTAATTAATTATATATATATATATATATATATATATATAACTATCAATTAATTCGTTAAATTTTTTAATGTGAAAAATAAATTAAAATTTTTTTAAACAATTTTTAAATTAAAAAAATAATTAATTATGATTATTTCTATTTTTATGTTATATTTAAAATTCATCTTTTAACCTATTGATAAATTCTCTAATGACATTTTTTATCAAAAGTTATTTATCTTTTAAATATAAATTTTTTTTTTTTTCTATAAAACATGACATTTTAAAGTATTTATTAAAAAAAAAAAAAAGAAAATCTTTATATCAAAACTATCATAACCAGTTTTAGTGGAATATATTTAAAAACGTGTCAATTTGATTTATTTGAAAAATTTTACTATAAATTATTTTATCGACGTTTCAAAAATCAAAATATTTATATTTAAATAATTTTATTTAAAAATTTTTTTTTGATATATTCCCTAAAAAAAATATAATTATTCACACTTTATTACAGAATTCTTTTTTTTTAAATCAAGAAAATATTGAATAAAATAATAGTAATAATAATAATAATAATTATAATAATAATATAATAATAATAATAATAATAATAATAATAATAATAATAAAAATAATAATAGTAATTTTTTTCCCGATTGAAAAAAATTTGATTTAAATAAAAAAAAATCGTATTTTTTTAATTTTTTGAAAAAAAATTAATTTTTTTGACTTTTTTAAAAAAAAATTATGTTTTTTTTAATTTTTTAAAAAAAAAAATTATGATTTTTTTGAAAAAAAAATATGAGTTTTTTGATTTTTTGAAGAAAAAAAAATTTATGATTTTTATCAATTCTGACCTTTTTTGACCATTTCAAACGATAATGAAAAAATAAAATTCGAAAAAAATACACTTCACAGAAATTATCTGTCGAGTCTATTTTTCGATCTAGTTTTATATTTAATATATATATATATATATAATATCTGATACATGTGACAAAAGTCTTGTAAAATATTTCCAGAACAAAGATAAAATCCAAGAGAGAGAAAGATAAATAAATCTTTCTCTCGATTTAAATATATATTCATAAACAGGAAATATTTTTTCTTTTCTTTTTAAATGTATAAAAATAATTTTAATGTCGAGAAAAATGGTTCATTGATTTTTTTTTCCCCCACCGTGATAAATGTATTTTTAACTAGATAAAAAAATAATTTTCGCTTCTCATGATTTTACTTTTGTTTATATTTTATTTATATTGTATTTGAAGTTTTAATGTATATAAATATTTTTTGAAAACAAAAATACGATAACAATATTATTATATGGGATAGTGAGATTTTCATTAAAATAAATTCTTTTTTTTTGACTGGAACATTTTTTTTCGTAATTTTAATGGAAAATTGAGAAAATACGTTAATTTTTATTTCTTTATTTGATGAAAATTGTGAAAGTTATGATTTTTTTAAATTTAACGGCCTCCGGAGGCCGAATACATTTAAAATGCATTTTTCTCTTTTATAATAGCAGATAAAAAATAATATTATATATGAAATTTGTTGAATTTTTTCTTAAAATTTTTAAATATGTAGTAAAAAAAAATACCGTAACTACCTTAAAAATACCGTAAAACATTAAAAATTATGTAAAAAAAAGTGATATAACCTCAAAAAACTTCAAAATTCGTTGTTAAAATTTTAAAATTCAAGAAAAATTCAGTCCTAGCGTTACTACTTTATGTTTTTGGAATCGCTGAAACCGAATTTGAAATCTTTTTAACCCGATTACGTTAGGTATTTGACATAACCTCAAAAAACCTCAAAAATTCGTCCCCAAAATTTTGAAATCAAAGAAAAATTATTCTTATAAGTCATTACTATATCTACTTTTTATGTTTTTTGAATCGCTGAAGCCAAATTTGAAATCAGGTTTTTGACATAACCTCAAAAAAAAAAAAAAAAAAATATCAATTTTTTGAATTTTTTTGAGGTTATGTCAAAAGCCTGACGTTATGGGGTTAAATAAATTTCAGATTTGGTTCCAAAAACATAAAAAAGACATAGTAAAACTTAAAAATACTATTTTTCTTGATTTTAAAATTTTTAGGACGAATTTGGAGGTTTTTTTTTTGAGGTTATGTCAAAAACCTAACGTGATGGGGTCAAATGGACTTCAAATTCGGTTTTAGCGATTCAAAAAACATATAGTAGTAACGGTAGGACCGAATTTTTCTTGATTTTCAAATTTTGAGGACGAATTTGAAGGTTTTTTGAGGTTATGTCAAAAACCTAACGTGATGGGGGTCAAATGGACTTCAAATTCGGTTTCAGCGATCCAAAAAACATAAAGTAGTAACGGTAGGATCGAGTTTTTCTTGAATTTTAAAATTTTGTGGTTATGGCAAATACCTAACTTTTTATCAAAAAAAAATAATAGAACTGTATAAATGAAATAATAATTAAAATTTTTTTTTGTTAAATCACTATTAGTATCTATTGAAATAGAAACGATAGTTTAAACTTAAAAAAAAAAATATGTTAACTTTTTTTAAAAAGTGGCATATTACTGCAGATTTGCATTAATTACTGCTCATCGTGTTCACCAATTACTGCAGCGCTAAAACCAAACAATTTTATGTTCTCAATTAGTAGTAGTAAGTTTTACTAATTTTATAGAAATCGCAGTAATTGGGGCATCAGCAGTAATTAGTACACTGTAAAAAGAAAGGTATTAATTTAATACCAACTTTATAGGTACTAAATTGTTATTTGGTTCTATTTTGATACCTAAAATCGGTACTGTTTTAGTACCTTATTTTTACAGGTGTAAGTTTTACTAATTTTATTATAGAAATCGCAGTAATTGGGGCATCAGCAGTAATTAGTAAATTTTACTAATTTTATTATAGAAATCCAGTAATTGGGACATCAGCAGTAATTGATAAATTTTACTAACATTAAAGAAAGCGCAGTAATTGGTGCATCAGCAGTAATTGGTATACTTATCCTAGAAATTCACGAATATTTTGGTAAAAAAATTTTTTTTTTTTTTTTAAATGAAAATACCAACACATAAAATAGATTAAAAAAAATCACATGTATCAGATACACTCGATTTGAAATGAGTGCTAATATCTCTCTTGTTTTTTGTTTTTCTTTTTCATAAACAGGGTGTGTATCGCAGCCGTCCAAGAGAAGTCTCTTCTCTTTTTCCCTCTCATTGTGTGCCAAGAAGCAAAGAAAGAAAGAAGAAAAAAAAAAATAAATCCAAGTGTGAGAAAAATAAAATAGCAAGAAAAGAAAAAAAATAAAAAGAAGTAAAGGAGTCTGGAAAGTAGACGAGATTTGTCCTCGTTTAATGTTTGTAGTGCGTCGATTTCAATTCTTAGTTTCCCGAGGTGCAATGACTCGGCACGTGCCACACTTTCGTACGTGCCTATAAAAGAAAACGAAGAATAAGAATAAAAAGCACAAGCGCGAAAAGAAGATATACGACTCTTTCAACACTTAGAAGAAGGAAAGGAAGCAAATATCCGTGCCAAAAGTTCGAGTCGGGTCAAGTTTGAATTTACCTGCACAAGACGTGTGTGTGTGTGTGTATTCAACATTACACACACTCTCTCTTTTTCTATTTTTTTCAGTGCCAGAAAAAAATGCAATCGATCACCCAAAAATCAACACTCGCCATTAAGGGACCAATTTTCTCATTTTCACTACATTCGTAATTTTCGCAAAAAAAAAAAATGTCAAAAATGATTTTTTAAGAAAGAAAAAATGTTACGGTAGAAAAAAAAATTTGGATGTAAAATTTTTTTGACGAAGAATGCAAGGAATTTGGATGTAGAGGGAAAAAAATACTCTTAGGGGTGTAAAAAACGAGGAGAGAGAGAGAGAGAAATAAAAGAGAAAACGATGTCTATAAGGTTGAGTGGCGTTTACCTGGTGCAGGCCACTGGAGCCACTGATGGCAATGAAAAGTCAGGTAAAGTCTCGCAGGGAAACGAGAACAATCACCATCATCATCATCATCAAAGTAAAACCGTGACAATTGTAGCCGGTCCACAGCGTAGCAACAGTTTGGATTACCTGAATTTCGAGGAAAAACGACAACTAATAGCCTCATCGTTGTCACTCAGTGATTTTCTTGCTCATGGACCAGCGGCAGCTGCTGCCGCTGCCAAAGAAGTCGCTGCCAACACTGTTATTGGTGAGTCATTTGTTTATGTAAATCTTAATTTGAAATATTTGCGAAACTATTTTTTTTTTTTTTTTTTTTTTTTTTTTTTTTTTTTTTTTTTTTTTTTATACAAACACTAATAGACTGAAAACTAGAATAACTCGAATTTTACATGGACTCGAAATTCGAACCGAACCGAGTTTTAATTCTTATGGAGAGAATCGAATTTTTGACATTTGCGCACAGCTCTACTGAAAACCTATTTTTGAAATGATTCAAAAATGAAAGATTTATCTAAATAAAGATTTGCTGTTATCGACATGTTCTGATCCGTGTTAAGTGTCGGTAACATGTCGGTAACAGGAATCTGTATTTAGAACACTCCCTGTATATATCTATTTGATACTTAATTTCAAAAATTAACTAAACATAGTTCTTGTTGGAATTGGATAAAAGTAATTTTGAAACTTTTGTTTAAATGAAACCCACCATGAAATAACTGAGTTTATGCCAGTCGAATTATATCTCAATAAGAAACCTAAAAAGTGGTTCAACTTTCTAATCAAATCCGAAAAATATCGATTATGATAGAAAATTAGAAGTTTAAGAATTTTTTTTTTTTTCATTTAGCCCGGATCAGAACCACTTTTTTCTCAAGTGTGTCGGTAATATGTCGGTAATAGGAATCTGTATTTAGAACACTCCCTGTATATCTAGTTACCTGAAAGACTTAATTTCTAAAATTAAGTTTATCAATTCAAAACTTTTTTGCCCTATGAAACGTAGTAGTTTCTAACCTAATAATACCGGAAATTAATATGGTCTGTACTAATTTTTTGGTATTTGGTTAAAAACTGCTTCGTTACATATAGTGCAAGAAAGTCTCCATATTGGAATACTTTTTAAAATTTTTCCTGTCGGGTTAAGTGGATATACTGGGAGTGTTCTAAATACAGATTCCTGTTACCGACATGTTACCGACACTTGAGAAAAAAGTGGTTTTATCTAAGAATCGCGTTAATTTTTTAAAGGCTTGCAAATATTTAGATTATTAAAATTTTATCTAAATTTCAAGGTTATGTTCGTATCTTGATTAGGGAAATTTAAGTTTATGTTAGTTGGATATAGCCTTGAATCCAACGTTCCTTTGGTTTATGTCCTTGAATTTTGAGATTATGTTCTAACTAAGGCCTTGAATTCTGGAAACCTATGCCCTTGTATATTGAGGTTATGTTTGATCTATAACCTTAAATTCTAGAGACCTCTAAGACCTTACATTTTGTGGTTATGTTCGTTTTAGTACTAATAAAGGTATAAATTTCAGAATATTTTTATTTCGGTCATCCAAAACTTTCGTCAGGGATGTGTTATAGAATATTTTATACTTAAATTCAGTATGTAATACTCTTAAAATTAGACTATATTCCTAGTATTTAGTTCACAGAAAATTAAAAGGCATTAAAATAAGCTGCAACGCTTCTTATTTTAATCCAATTTTTCTTATTTTAATCCATTTTGGTATTAAAATAAGCAAAATTGGATTAAAATAAGAAGCGTTGCAGCTTATTTTAATACTTTTTAATTTTCTGTGTTTATATTCTAAATGCTAAGAAAACTAATTTTTAAGTATTTAAGGATTTAAGTATTTTAAAATATTCTCATTTTAAGAATATTACATACTAAAATTAAGTATAAAATATTCTAAAATGCATTGCTGACAAAAGTTTTGAATCACCGAAATGAAAATAATTTGAAATTTAGAATAAATACCTTTATTAGTGTTAAAATGATCATAACCTCAAAATTCAAGGTCCTAGGTTTCTAGCATTCAAGGTTATAGATCAAACATAACCTTAAAATTCAAGGGTATATTTTTTCGGGATTTCATGGCTTTAGTTAAAACATAACCTCAAAATTCAAGGACATAGGTCAAGGAACCGTTGGATTTAACACTGCGAAAAAACGTAACTCTAAATTTAAGTACATGTTTTTGGCGCCTATTTAAGGATATTTTATACTTAAATTCAGTATATAGTATTCTTAAAATAAGTATGTATTCTTAATATTAGAAATATATTAGTATATTTTTTTCTTAAAATATATTTCTAATATTAAGAGTGTCACAGAAAATTAAAAGGCATTAAAATAAGCTGTAACGCTTCTTATTTTAGTCCAATTTTGCTTATTTTAATCAATTTTGATATTAAAATAAGCAAAATTGGATTAAAATAAGAAGCTTTGCAGCTTATTTTAATGCCTTTTAATTTTCTGTGGTTATATTATTTTAAGAATAGTATATACTTAATGTAAGTATCAAAATATCCTTAAATAGACGCTAAGGAGATACACTTAAATGTAAATTTACGTTTTTTTTTTTTTTGGTAAAGACTATGTTCAACAAACATAACCTTAAATTCCCTTAACCAAGATACGAACATAACCTTAAAATTTGGATAAATTAGTTAAAAAGGGAATTTATTTTTAAAATATTCTAAAATAGGTGCCTAAGTATATATCATTACTATATTATAAAAAGATATCCCCGCCGCCGCCGCTGATTCAAGAATTCTTGACCTAGGAGGGGGGAGTCCCCCTCCTAAATTTTGAGGTTATGTTCGTTTGAAGGCTCTGAATATAGCCGCAAGTCCTCTTCCCTCCTCTCATTTCTCCTCCTCCGTCAAAAATGACCTAAATTTTGAGGGTATGTTCGTTTCAAGACTCTGAATATAGCCGCAAGTCCTCTCCCCTCCCCCGACAGAAATGACCTAAATTTTGAGGTTATGTTCGTTTCAAGGCTCTGAATATAGCCGCAAGTCCCCCTCCCTTCTATCATCCCCCCCTTCCGTCAAAAATGACCTAAATTTTGAGGTTATGTTCGTTTCAAGGCTCTGAATATAGCCGCAAGTCCCCCCTCCCTCCTCTCATTTCCCCTTCTCCGCCAAAAATTGACCTAAATTTTGAGGTTATGTTTGTTTTAAGACCCTAATAAAGCAGTAAGTCCTTCCCCCTTCCCTCATCTCTCTCTCTCTGCATTTCCTGCCAAAAATGACATAAATTTTAAGGTTATGTAAATTTCAAGACTTTCAATATAGCCGCAAGTGAAGGTGGAGTTTCCGCCAAAAATGACTTGAATTTAAAGGTTATAATTCGTTTCAAGACTTTTTAATAATTTATTTGTTGTTAGGCAATTTCATTGAAATTATTTTTAAAAATAATTTCTTAATGTCGATTTTAATTTATTTAATTATTTATTTATTATTAATTTAATTAATTTATTAATTAAAATTTAATAATTTTAATTTTAATAATATTTATTCAGATTTCAATGAATTTGTAATAATAATTCTTTGAAATAGGTGGTTCATTTGGAAAAATAAGATCAATGGAAAATTAAAAAAAAATGATTAAAATAGGGGGGTTGGCGCGCGAAGCGCGCAGGGGGGCGTAGCCCCTCTAGTATATATATATATATATTCTTAACTTCAGAATATTTAAAATTTAAACTTCCGTTGTTTGACGGATTTGAATGCTCTAGGGCTTAAAGTATAAAATTCTAGTACAACTGTTAAAAATACATAAAATGGAATACATGAAAAAGATAAGGAAATCCGTGATTTAAACTTCCCATATATATATATACGCCTTCTTATTCAACCCCCTTACAGTCATCATATTTTTCAAGTCAAGGAACTCTCTCTCTCTCTCTCTCTCTCTGTCGCCGAACAGTAAACAGTGTGTATATCTTCTCTCTTTCTCTCTGCTTCTCTCTACATATATATATACAATGCTCTTCTACTTGGCGCATTCGTCTCGGTGTCTCTAGACCTGCCTTCTTCCTGCGCGAATGCTTATTATCAGACGAGGTCGTTGCTCGTTACTCGCGGGAGAGAAAGAAGGGCGGAAAAGTGTGTAGCTTGAAGAGAAGCTCGACTTTGTGGCAAAAGAAGAGAAAAAAAAACCAGAGAAAGAGAGAGAGAGAGAGAATTTTTCAAAGTACCAGTTGATCGATGAGGTCACAAGAGGTTATCGATATGCAAGAGGAGTTTGTAGGTACTTGAATGAACTCGATGTTTAAAAATAAAAGAAAAAAGAAAAAAGAAGCTTTATCCACTCGAGACTGGAATAACATTTTGTTGTTAAGAAAAACAGTTTTTCATATATATTAAATATATTCTAAAAAATTTTCTAAAATTTTCTAAAAAAATTCTAAAAAAATTCTAACACAGAAAATTAAAAGGCATTAAAATAAGCTGCAACGCTTCTTATTTTAATCCAATTTTGCTTATTTTAATCCATTTTGGTATTAAAATAAGCAAAATTGGATTAAAATAAGAAGCGTTGCAGCTTATTTTAATGCCTTTTAATTTTCTGTGAAAGAATTCTAAAAAAATCCCAGTTGGGAAATTGCCAATGATAATCATTGGTCCATTATAGGGCCAATGATGGTTCAATATTGGATCAATGATGCCAATGATGGTCCAATAGTGGACCAATGCTACCAATATTGGACCACTGTTTTGCCAATGATAAATTTCCCACTCACAGAAAATTAAAAGGCATTATAATAAGCATTGCAGATTATTTTAATGCCTTTTAATTTTCTGTGCTGAAATTATAAAGAATACTAAAATTTTCTAAAAAATTAAAAAAAATTTTTTTAAGGCATCAATTTAATTTAGTATAAATAGTAGTATACATGTTTGTGTTATTATTTGCATTACTCATCGGCTCTTGGAGCGCAAGCAAGTGCCAATTCTCTTTAGATTGAAATGTGTCTTCTTTTTTTTTTTTTTTTTTTGGGAACACTGCCAATCCTAATTCTGTAATTGTTGATTGTTATTTTTGACTATTGGAATTTTATCAGATTATGTCTTCTTGATTTTAAATGGATAATTTTTTCTTTATATCTATATATATATATATATTAAATACCAAGTAGAGCGAGACATTCAAAATCCTTTCTCCTCCTATAGGCTACTCGGCAGCCTCGAAAGGTCATAGTTACGACATAATTGTTCGTCTTCACTTTGTGTATATCACGACACACGTGAAACACTACATTAGAGTTAT